CAATCACATAAACATACTAGCACAATAAGCAAACATACACTACTGAATTCTTGTTCTAAGGCCTCGCCTATCTTGGGCCCCGCCCCTGTCCTGCTACTGAAGAGTCATGGAACCCCGTCCACGCTCCTGCTAATGGTGAGATATGGGCCCCCGCCCACACTCGCCTCTCTCCTATCCCAGGCCCCGCCCCTGCTCTGCTAATAATGAGATACGAAACCCCGCCCGTACTCAGCTAGTGGTGAGATACGGGACCTCGCCCACACTCACCTCCCTACCAGGCACATACATGTATCACAAAGACAACAAGTATAAACTACTATGCAACACATACCATTCCTCGGGCTTACCCCGACATCGGACCCTAGTCCGGAAACATACTACCGACACATGCAAGAATCACAAAGACCTCTAGCATACTAACATACCTCGGGCCTCGCCCCGCATCGGATCGTAATCCGGAACATATATCATAAAAATGCCTAGGGATAACCCCCGGGTCTTCCTACGATACACAAACATAATGGGCCGACATTGTGGCCGTAGACCCATGCACACAATGAGGAGACTCACCTCGCACTGCTGAAATCCCACCGATAAACCTCTGGCTGCTAACTGGAAATTCCCCGACTGCTGCTCCTTTGGCTCCTCGAGCAGTCAGTACCAAAATAACACTTAGCCCAAAACCAATAATCCTCGTAGGGTAAAATAACCATTTTACCCCTGGTCCAACTTGGTCCATATCTAAGGCCCAAAACCATAGTATAAAAGGCCCAACACTAGGTAGGCTTCCTAAGCCCACTAGTGGCCCACTAATGGCCCAATTTGCTGAATTGGGCCCAATCCCTCTAATGGGCCTTACCCCAAGCCCAAACATATTCTTGGCCCAAAACATCTGACTTCTGATGGCCCACTAAGGCCCAAAGACCCAAAGTCCATTGCTTGGCCCAACCCGAGGCCCAAAACACATCAAGCCCATAACTGATGAGTACGTTGGGCGTACTCCTATGAACGCTAAGCGTACAAGCTAAATGGTCCGTACGCTGGGCGTACCTGCATGTACGCTCAACGTACTCCCCTGTTAAGTCACTTTCCCATTAAGTGCTTAATTCTCTAATCCAGAAGCTACAATCACATATCCAAGTCCTTTTCAACGCCTTAATCCATAAAGTCACTGACTTGATGACTTTACATGACCCTAATAAACCCAAACCTCAAAATAGCATTCCATCCCATAACAATGAGCTTAAATCATGCATGGACCCAATAAGACATTCAAGATGACAACTTTCTGCCTTAGGGACTCATTTAGAATTGAGAGTGGCAACTCTAAGTCCAAAAATCGGATTTGAACCATAAAGTTCTATACTTGGGACCAAAATGACTTCCAAATCCACACTACACTAGATCTAAGCGTACTTGAGGAAAGTTATGAACTTTATACCTCCAAAGAGTCCCAAATGATGATGCTATCCCGGATCTATGAGCTCAAGCTACCCCAATTCCTTCTTTGCCACTTCTTCTTTCTTCTTCCAAGCTTAAAACCACCAATATGGGCTTCTCAATATCAAGACCACACAAGAATGGAGGGATGAGACGTTCTCGGATTTTTCTGAGGTTGGGGAGGCTGATAAGGGGCTAGGTTTTGAGTCCTAATGTTCCTTATATAGTGCTTGACCCTAAAATTAGGGTTTTGGGTCTCTGAGCGTACGCTGGGCGTACATCTCGTACGCTGGGTGTACGTATCCAGCATCCACGACCAATTAACCCTTCTACGCTGGGCGTACTCTTGCGCTGGCCACCTTGCATGCATGGTCCTTTCTTTCTATATTTCTCTATTAAGGACCAATATTGCCAATAACTTCAAAGTGCTATAACTCCTTCATTCGAAGTCCGTTTCCGACGAACTTTATTTCCACGAAAAGGTGGCGAGAAGCCCTACGCTCCTAACTACACACCAAGCCTTAAAACTTTTTGAATAGAAACGAGACCCATAAACGACCGAATCGCCTATACCCAGGGCCTCCTAGACCACAACCAAAGTACTTTCAAAACTGGGTGTTACATCCATTTTCTGTGATAATGATGTGGCCAATCAAATTGCCAAAAATCATGTTCAACATTCGAAAACCAAGCACATCGACATTAAAGTTCATTTTATTCGAGACTGTTATGAGTGTAAGCTCATTCGCTTGGAACAAATCCACGCTGATAACAATGTGGCGGATTTGTTTTGCCAAACCTTTCAGTAAGGCTCTTTTCGATGTGCTTGTGGGTTTCTGAAAATGATTCGTTTCGAAGATTAATTTTTATTTTTTATTTTTTTTTAAATTTTTTTTGGTTGTTTAAATTTGCGCATTTATTTTATTTCCTTTCTTCCCTATGCACAAATTTAGGGGGAGAAATCAAAAATACAAAAAAAATTATAAAATCAAAAATACAAAAAAATTATAAAATCAAAAATACAAAAAAATTATAAAATAAAAAAATATATATGTCTTCTCTCGTAAATATTCTTGGGAAGTGGTATGGAGTTTAGTGTTAAAGGGAAATCTGAAATACGTGTAATGCACTGAAGCTGAATTGTTCAGACTTAGTGTTCAATGTGCTGGTAGGCACGAAGGATTCAAAATGAAAGGACTTGACAATGTTAACTCATCTAGACTTAGATAGTTTCATTTGGACTGGCCAAACGACGCTCGGATAGGTTGAGAAGTGAGATAAACAAGGGAGCCTGCGACATACATTAAAGTTACTTATAATCTAGAACTGTGGCTCAACACTTCTTCGACGTACGAATTTATGTCCTTAATTCTGGTGCTGATAGGGTGACTGGGGGGTTCTGATAAAGTAGGTCTGTGTAAAATTTTTTTTTTCTTATCTTCTATTTCAGTCATATATTGCCCCCTTTGCGTGATTGGAAGAGATCTGACCTGGGACGCAACATATGCATTTCTGCTTCTATCTATGCATCTCTCTATGTATCTATGTCAGTCATATGCTGTCCCGTTTGCGTGCTTGGAAGAGATCCGACCTGGGACATGACATATGCACCTTTCTATCTCTCTATCCCTCTATCTATGTTAGTCATATGTTGTCCCTCTGCGTGATTGGAAGAGATCCGAACTGGGATATAACATATGCATCTCTATTTCTATGCATCTCTATCTATGCATCTCTATATACTCTCTCAAATAATTGAACGCTATCCTAAAGTAAAGAGCTCTTTGGAATTCCTTGATTGCTAGGGTATGTCGTGAAGTGGGGAACATGTTCTAGTGCACTTAAAATTTAATTGGTTCATGACTAAAGGTTGACTGTAGATCTCGCTGCTGAATTTAAGTGGATAACAATATCTTTGGTCGCCGTCAGCAAAATGGTCTATTTAGTAATATAATTGCAATGTCTTGTCACTTATGATCTGTCCAACTTGCATATATCCTTTGTGTTTAAGTGGACCACCATATTTGGTGATTGACCAAAGCTATTCATGCAGGTGTGTGCTGAGAAACGATATTAAATTGCTTGACCACTTTTGATCCCAAAATGTTTTGAATTTAATTATTTAAGTATGTTTGTTTTATTTTATTTTATTTTTGTTTCTAAAATTTTATTTTTACTTTTAATTTGCATTCATTTAAAATTTAAAATTTTGGTTTTATTTTATTTCAAAAAAATTTCTAAGAAACGAATTAAAAAAAATTGATTTTTAAATGGATTGGGGCCCATCGAATTCGGTGGTCCAAAGGGCCAAGAACCCGTTTTTAGGGGTTTATAAGGGTTTAGGGTTTTCTTTTTCATTCATCACCGAAATCAATCTCTTTTCTCTCAAAACTCAATCGAAAACCCCCTTGTTCTCCATTCATCTGTTCATCTTCATTTTTGGCTATAATGATCGATTTTTCCTTTGATTCTTTGAAATCTTTACTAGGTATGTAGATTTCGTGTAACGTGCTTCAAGTTTTCTGTCTTTTCATGGAGTTTCTGCATGTGTTCGAGGGTTTTCCGGCGAATGACAGTGGTTTCCGGCGAATTCATCGAGGATTTCAAAATATCAAAAAGTCGGGTTTTCGGTTTGACCCGAATCCGACCGAAAACGTCCCCTTTTTGACTGAAAACTCAAACTTTGAGCGAAATCAACATAGCTTGACCGAAATCAACATACCTTGACCGAAATCAACGTACCTTGACCGAAATCAACATACTTTGACCGATGTCAACATGTTTTGACCGAAAACTACATCTTTTGACCGAAATCGACATTTTTGACCAAAATATGAATTTTTGAGAAAATAAAATTTTATTTTTAATTTTTATGGTTCTCACTTGATTCGTTTGGTGCAATTAAATGGCGGATCAGTTAAAATTTGTGGATTCTCACAATATCGTTGGATATCTCCTGGATCCACCTGTCGCGCATAATGAATTCAAATCCATGATCGTGGGTTTAAACAATTGCATAATTTCTCATGCTTTGCGTTCTAATCCAGGCATCTACAAGGTCCTGATTACTGAGTTTTGTAAAAATCCTTCAATCAACAAGCAGGGAGCAGATGGAGCTGGTGTTGTTGAATCGACGGTGAAGGGAACTCTAGTAATTAATTCTGAGCAAGTTATCCGAGAAGTACTTGAATTTGGTGATGCATCTGCATTTCCAATTGAGTACACTGCTGATAAAGTGAAGGGAACCCTTGAGAAGATGTGTAATGAAGGAACCTATCCTCCCACCATCAAGAAACTACTGCCAGCTTACTGGAGGTTTCTGGCACACTACTTTGTAATTTGCATTTCTGGAAGGAAGGGAGAATCGGATGAAATTAGTCAGACTGCGACCTCAGCCATTGTCGCTCTAGCAATGGGCTGGGATTACAACTTTTCAAGGTTTGTCTTTGAGGAAATGAAAAGCAACCTTTAGGGGAAGAAGAAGGACATATTTTTGATGTATCCCAGGTTCCTTCAAATGATCTTAAATGAAAAATATCCCCAACTTGAGAGGTCGTCTCATGAAGCAATCAAGAAAAGCAGCCAAAGTCGCCTATCAAGGATTAAAGGAGTTAGTTAAATTTGGAAACTTTGCTGAGACAGAAGGTGTTCAGGCTGCTAGTACTCCAATTGCTATGGTGGCAGAGGAACATGTGGCACCATCAAGGTCAAATCTCAGTTTTTCATTTGAGGTTTCTGATGATGATGTTAATGATGATGATGTTGATGATGATGATGATGATTCTGATGATGATGATCGTGTGGATTTTCATATGTTTGTACCATCGAAGGAGCCGATCAACGAGGCTTTGATTTCTCCAGCTGAGACAGAGAAATAGATAAACATTTTCAAACAACCAAACGATCCAACGCCCGAACAGATAGAAGCTCTTATTGAACAATTACAGCCAACTGCAAGGAAGCCTCCCCAAGCAGTTCCTGTTACAACTGATTCTCCATCTGAGTGTGATAAAGACAATTTAAATGCCTCCCTGATGCCAAGAAAGCGAAGACGTAGAGATCCAAGGTCGGGAGTGCTTGTTACTGAACCAGTACAACAGCCTACTCCAATTGTTGAACCAACCCAGGTTGATCAAGGTGATCAAAACCCAATTGTTGAACCAGCCCAGGTTCATCAAGATGATCAAAGTCCAGTTGTTGAACCAGCTCAGGTTCATCAAGTTGATCAAAGCCCAATCTTTGACGACGACTTCAACTTTTTAGCTAATGAGGAAACGTTTTCCTTGGGAAGCTCTTCTGCCCTACCACCTCCAAAGCATGATGTTGCATCTGTCAAGCTAGCCAAGCTACTTGCTTTTCAAGACTCTATTCCTCAGTTAAGAGGAAAGGGAATATCTATTGGCTCAGGGCATGGAGGTGATGAAGACTCTCAACAAGCCATTTTTGAGCTCAAACAAGAGATTGTACCTTTGAAGCAGGAGTCCATTGGGAAGGATTTGCTGATTAGAAGTTTGGATGTGAGAGTTTCTGAGCTTGAAAAAGAAAATTCTCAAAAGAATAAGCAGATCTTAGATCTTCAGGCCAATCTTGGCGGGTTGACTGCTCTTTATTTTGATCTCAGAGACAAATTAATTGGAAAACTTGGTGACGAGTTCAAGACTTCAAGTTCTGGTGATGGAAAAGCGTCACAGACATCTGAGAGAGTTGTAGTCTCTCCTGCCCCAGATGCTAACGTTGATCAATTTTTGTCCTCTGGCCCTGTCACTACTGAAGAAAGAAGGGAGAAGAAGAAAAGGGTTGATAGGTTGAGGAAAGAAAAATGCTACTGATGAAAAACTCTGATCAGAATGCACCTGGTGATCACCCACAGATGTTTATCAAAGAAATTGGTAAAAGAAAATTTGATGACAGATATGGCGATCGCTCTGGAATTATCATGTGGGGATATGAATCTGATAAGAAGATGAGGATTGTTAAACGAAAAAGCGGAAACATTGAGTACTATGCGAAGAAGATTGAATTTATGTCTTGGACAAAAGTTGATCTTGCAGAGCTGGTCCACACACCATTTCAAAATCCAACAAATGATCCTAACGCTTGGGCGTTTATAAGGTTTCTAGAAGGCAAAGCGAAGCTGAACTTTGAAGGCTTGAAAACAACATCATCGTTCATTAAAAAGGCCAAGGATGTTATTGATCCCCGCACCAACAAGACTATGAGGAATGTTATGTGGCCGCCTACAAATAAAGTGACAAAGATCCCTATCAATCAGCATGTACCTGATGGCTCTTTGAATGATTTATTATTTTGGGTATAAGATGAGCCTACAGCGATTGTTGTAATCAAGATGAAAAAGGATCAGATTTGTCTTGTTGATCCTAAGGATTTGCTGAAGTTTGGCGAGCATGACATTCATACTCTATCCAAGCATCAACTTATGGTCGAAAATGAAATGTTTGAAGCTGTTGCAAAGGCTTTCATTGGTATGATAGCAACTATCATTGATAAGAAGCTGTGATTAGGAGCATTGGCTAATTCAGATGTTCATCTTGTGGAGAAGCCTTAAAGTCAGTCAGCAATAGCCAGCAATAAACCAAGGGGGAGATTGTTTGGTCATATTTTAATGGTTTATGTTGGGCTTCTAGTTTTTTATTATTCTTGGGCTTTTCATTATGGGTTTATAGTGTTTTCGGTTATAGGGACCGAAATCACTATGGTGATTTCAGTCATTATGGTCTTGGGCCTTTTAAGGCTTTGTACTTGGTTGTATATATAATCCTTCTAGTCGTTTACATGTTCTAGTTGTTCAATCCTTGTGGTATTCAGCTGTTAAGAGTATTCTTGTGTACCAGACGATTTCATTCAATAAAATCGTGTGCATTGAGAGTAATTTCTGTGTTCTTGAATCACTATCTGATTTATATTCCGCATTGTTTAGATAGATTGATTGATATCTTATTAAGCTAGAGGTATAAAGCTTGAATCTTGATGATGCATTTGTTAGATCTAGCTAGTTTTGGGTGTTATGAGCTTTTGGTTACTTTAGTTCATAAGGTTTAGATCTTGAGAGTTTGTGACCTTGTTATGGATAAAGTGGGAAACTTTATCCATCTAAACATCATATTGATTCAGATCGGAAGGTTGGGGACTTGGACTTAATGGATTAAGATGAAAAATATGCACTTTTGGCCCCTTGGAGACTTAAGGACTAGATCTTGGTTGTTTGGACCGTTCTAATGGATAAAGTTGGAAACTTTATCCATTATGGAGTTATTAAGAACCATAAAAATTTAATCTTGGACCTTATTTTCCTTCCATACATGAGCTAGGATGTCTTGAAGAGATAAGAATTTAGGGTTTTTGGTATTGAGCACCTAATAGCCATGCAAGATCATAAAGTTGAAAACTTTATGGTTAAGGACATCATTTGAGGACTAGATCTGGAATTTGGATGGAAGAGCTTAAGGGATTAAGCTCTTAATAAAAGGAAACGATAATTGAACGTATGTTGGGCGTATGCTATGGTATGTAGGGCGTACGAGGTCAACACCTCGTTTCTGGTCAAGGTTTGAGTACGCTAAGCGTAAAAGCTGAGTACGCTGGGCGTACTCAGCTGAGTTGACTCGGTTGACTTTTTGGACTTTTCGACATTGACCTGTTTTTGGCCAAGTTTGACCTAGGGGTATTTTGGGCGTATTGATTATAAGTTAAGTTTGGTCATGTTCCAATGAATAGGTGACCGGTAGAGCTGATATTCGGAGCAGTGTCCTGTTCAGAAATCCTTCATATTGGGAGGTGAGTTTTCCTTCATTTTACTCGTGGGTCGAAGGCACCAATGCCGACCCAATGGATTATGTTTGTAGAATGATAGTTGTCTATGTGACACTTACTGTTATGCATGTACGTTCTTATTATCTTTATGACTCTTTCTGATATGATCGTATGCTTAGCTGTAGGGGTGAAATAGACCCAATACCGGTTGAAAGATACCGAATGGGGTAAAATAGACCCAGTACCGGTTAAAAGATACCGAAGGGGGTGAAATAGACCTAGTACCGGTTGAAAGATACCGAAGAGGGTGAAATATACCCAGTACCAGTTGAAAGATACCGAAGGGGGTGAAATTGACCCAGTACCAATTGAAAGATACCGAAGGGGGTAAAATAGACCCAGTTCGGTTGAAAGATACAGAAGGGGGTGAAATAGACCCAGTTATGTTTTGACTGTTATGTATGTATGGTATGAGGTATTTTGGGGAACTTACTAATCTTTGTGCTTACAGTTTATGGTTTCAGCTACTTCCGGTACGAAAGGGAAGGGCCCGTCGTGACTGTACCACATCCACCAGAGTTTTCCACATTGGCAATTTTCAATATTACTCTGATGTTTAAATAATATATTCATTTTGATCGGTTTTGGAACAACTCGTTTGTATGGTTTATTGTTTTTAAAATGAAAATTTTACTATGAATTTTTGGGACGTTACATATATGATGTTATATGTTTGTGTGTTGGTACTTTGGGGGAAGTCACTAAGCTTCGCCTTACAGTTTCAGTTTATTGTTTCAGGTACTTTAGATGACCGTGCCAAGGCGAAGGCGTGATCATGCACATCTTCCTATTTTTATGATATTGGGTCTTGGGAAAACTCAGATTATGATTATACTCTTGAAACAATAATTTTGTAAATACTTTATGGAGGACATGGATTGTTTTTGAGAATTTTGAATTTCTATGAATTTTGAGACGTTACAAGTTGGTATCAGAGCCTTGGTTTGAGAGAATTGGATGAACATTCTTGTGAATCCAGACTCAAACTAAGGAACTACAAAATTTTTAAAATGGTTTTCAAAATTGTTTTCAAAAGTAACCAAGGAAGGATGTGATGTGTACGATCAGACGGAGTAAGAAAGTATACCCCAAGTTACCCATATTGTTATTTGATATGATATTTATGGTAGAACATCATGCTAGTTATAGGCTAGGGATCTTCAGGAATTGCATGATATAATTGCCTGATGTATGATGCCTGATAGCCTAGAAATACTTCTTGTATGAAATTGACATCATTATTGTAGTTGCTTAGTGTGTGCATCATAGTTTCACATAACTAAGATTCTATAGCTTGAGAATGTTTGGTTTAGCCTTATTTCCTGTTCTGGTCTGATTAATGGCTTAGGTTAGGATCAAGTATTCGAATGTCTATAGGATCCAGTGTTATGTATGACTAGCATGCACGAGTGGATGCATGGCTGGTGGAAGTTTCATGGGTGAGTGGATGTGTGAGCAGTCGGTTAGGTGAGGCGTGATTAGCCACTCTCTGGGGAGTGAGAGTAGGATGTATGCGTATCCTAGTTGTTATATCTATTTTGATCGGTTGCGACGATCTTTGAGACAAATACGGGTAGGTATGGAAGGTAGTATGGGCCCGTACTACTGAAAGCACAGGACCCATATGCGTAGCAAAGAAGTCACAACCCCGTGGGTTTTGTTTATTTGGAATAACTTTTATGGTATGAAATACGGCATGTCTGATATATTCTGGTCTATTTTCAGTATGGTGCTCACGAGATGATCTGGTTCTGGGTCTGGAGTGGGTGGCCAGGATAGGTCGGGTTTGACTGATGATCAGATTCGGGAGATCATCGCCACTAAGGTCGATGCTGCTATTCGGAGGTCAATTTCGGAGATGTTTAGGTCTATCAAGACTGCTATGATTGAGCTATTTTACGATCGATATGTTGCTCTTTCTGATGATGTTGTTGTTGCAGCTACCGCAACTGTTTTTGCTGCGGGGATTTATGGGAGAGAGTTTTTCAGTATCAGGACTTCAACAATATGAAGCCCCTAGTGTTCGAGGGAGTTTAGTACTCGATTG